GACTCCTTGTTTCAGAGCTTCTCCAGGTGACAAGCTGCCCAGGCTCAGCAGGAGCCCTGCTCACGTTCTCCTCTCAGCGGGAAGAAATGGGATCATGATTTTTTTTAAATAAATATATTTTCCAGCTCTGCAGAAGTTCATCAGTTCCCACTGGCAACGGGGCTGAAAGCTGCTTGAGACCAGACTTGCCATGGGCAATGTCCTCCTGCTTTCAGAATGCATCCAAACTATCCCACCGGTGTCCCAAGGCTGTTGCTGGTTTCCATTCTGTAGAGTGGCCTTGGTAAGTTTGGTCCAGAAGAGATCTCTTGCAGAGGTTTAAAGTGGATTCCATGTTCACAGCCAGCCAGTGCCCTACAGATCTCTTGCTTAGAGATGTCCATCTCCTGCTTCTGCAGCCGTCCTCTGGTCTTGGTCTCTGCGCTGGCTGTGGGGACACATGAGGTGATGATACATTTGGGGCTGTTTATCTTCAGATCTGGCTGTGATGAGCAGTTCTGGTGGCTCCCCAGATGTTCTTCACCCCAGACACTGTGTTTTGAGGAATGGTAGAAGTCCTGCAGTGGTTGTAGAGCTGTCCCAGGACCTTGCAGTGCACCCCACTCATTTTGGGCTCGGAAGGAGGCTCACAGTGGGTCAAGCAAGCAAAGTCATTCTGGTTTGGGGTTTTTCTTTTGAAGGACTTGGGAATGAGTAATTTTGCAGGATCTGTGCATGGTCTCCAGTCTGGTTCTCCCTCACCCCATCTTCTGTCATAACAAAGGGACAACTGCTGGACAACTGTAAGGTGGTATCATGGTGTTTGCAGCTCTGCTGCTGAAGGGTTCAAGCCAGGCTGGAGAGTGCTCGAGGCTGATGCACAGGACGGTGACTTCTCCAACCCCTGGCACTGCTGGTGGACTCCCACTCAGGTTTGTGGGATCCTTCTCCATCCTTCCAAGCTGTCTGGGAATCCTTGGCTCTGTCCATGTGCTTGGACAGCTCTGATGAGGAGTGTTGATCCGTTGGCTTGTTGGAGCTGGTCAGTGGCTACCATTGCTGTCCTCTCCTACCAAATGGCTGACAGGAGGCATCATCATGGTTGAAGAGGATTTCTAGATGAGTCCTGTCAACACAACGAGGAGACAGCTTGATACATCCTGATGCCATCACCACTGACAAGGCACGAGGACTCCAGCTTTGAGGACCTGGACCATCCACCTGATGCCTTATGTGATGTTACCTTTATCCCAGCCTCACCCATCATCTCTGACCTGGAGCAGGGTTGGAAGCCACCTGCTCTGCTTTCAGAAATAAAGCAAAGTCAGATGGTTCCAACACAAGCAGGACTTGAGAAGGGTCTGTCCCAGCCTGGCTAGTGGCTCACACAGTGACTGTGGGTGTTATTCCTTCCCCTACCCCATCCCACCAACACCCTGAGGTCCCTATTTTTAAAGAGGTGCTTGCTTGCCCACCTTGTTTGAGAGCTCCTGTGAGCAAGATGTTCTCCTTCCCCTGTGGTGGTGTTTGGACTCACAGACATTGGGATTATCACCTTTTGCAGGGTGGCTGCTGTGTCTGATGAGTGCAAGGGCTTCTCAGAGCTCCTGGGTAGATTTTAAGATCTTTTCATCCCAAGTATGGTGCAGAGGTCTCCTTGTTCCTTGCAGGAAGGGGCAGCATCAGGTCACTTCTCTTTCCATCACACTGAAAAACAAAAATACTTTGGTTAAGCCCAGAAACAATCTTATGAGTGAAGAATGAGGCAAGAATAAATGAAAATTGAATTCCTTCATAACTGAGAAAGAACATTCAGACACCAACCATCTCCTCACCCTCTCTTTTGGTTAGTGGAGCTTGTGGGGTCTTCTAGGCAGGGTGAAGTCCAACTTTTGGGCTCAGGCAGTGCAGGAATTGATGCACAGTGATGCAGGAACATCTCTGAAGCATCAGTGGTAACTGTAGACACTGATTTGGAGGATCTTGGGCAGAAAAATATCCTCCTGGGCAGAAAAATGTCACCCCTGGGCAGTGGATGGAGCAACCTCTGATTACGTTGGACCTGGGTGATGATTCCCCCAGCTGTGCCAACGCCTGACAGCCAGGAGTTTGAACCCACAGCACTCTGAGCGTGGACTAAGGTGTGGGCATGGGGAACTGTTCTATATCTTGGCCAAACACATGTCCTGAGGGTTCCTTATCTCATCTCTGGGTGGAAGGTGTTGGAGAGCACTGTGTCTGCTCTGCAGAACGCTGCCTCTGGTCTGTCTTCTTGGAGCAGGTGAGCTTTGAGCAGCACAGGCACAGAGGATTTAGCTGTGTGGAGCTGAGTAAATTTGAGAAGTGGGTCCCAATCCCCATAAAAACCAGAAGGAGAACCAGCAGAGTCACTCTCCAGGTCAGCAGGGTGTTAACTGTCCAACCTCCTTGTTCTCCTTAGTCCTCACCCAGTGAAACCCATCAGCGCTGCCGTGCAAGAGGTCTCCAGCGAGAAGAAGCAGCAGCACAGGTCCAGCCTGACCACTGCTCTGAGCAATGGCCTGGAGAAGCTGAAGACGGTCACCACGAGCAGTGTCCAACCCGTGGCTCCATCTTCTCACCTGGAAAAAACAGACTCAAAGAAGTTAAAGGTAGGAACCTACCACTGAGGTGAGAGCTGCGTTCACACCTGCTTCAGATGTTCTGGATTTGGTGACAAAGGTGCAGAAAACTGGTGTTGGAGGAGGTAGAATGGGTTCTTGTCAGTGTGAGTGGAACCATGTGTGTGTCAACCTCAGCATCCTTGATCCTGGTTGCCCAGCCTCCCACCTTCTCACTCCATCATTCTAGTCTAGTGGAAGGTGTCCCTGCTGCTGGCAGGGGGGTTGGAACTGGATGAGCTTGAGGGTCCCTTCCAACCCAAACCATTCCATGATTCTTCTCCCATTTGCTTTGGTTCAGGGTTTTCATTGTACAGTATGTGAGCAGATGCCTGGTTATCCACCAGGTATGAAAGGTGGAGGATGTGATAGCTGCAAGATTGGAGACCTGGAGGGTTTTTTCTCTTGGTGGAGGGAAGGTGCTTCCTCAAGCCTTGCTGAAACGCCGCTTGCCTGGTGGTATTTCAAACGCTGGCATGTTGAGACAAGCAAAATATCTGTGTGATATGGCTGAGGGCAAAAGCCTCATGGAGTTGCCTTCTCCTTCACCATGTCTAGTGCTGCTCTGTTTGCTTCTCCAAGTTGACATGTAAAATGCTGCTGCTGGGGTTCAGCTGAGTGAACTCCCCTGGGGCGCTCGTCCTCTGGGAGCTCCTGAGGGGTCTTTCACCTCTTCATTCTCTTCTCCTGCTGTCATCCAGGCCTGCTGCTTCTTGGCCTTTTGGCTAAGATCATGTGTGGTACCTGTTCTTATCAGTTTAATATCTGATAAGTCCTCGATGAGAGGATTTTATAGTAAATGGATTTTTGGGCTTGGGATATAAAAAAAAAATCAATCAAACAAACAAAAAAAA